TATTAGCCTGCTCCTCGAGAGCATGAGCCCCCGACTCCACCTCGGCACCAAAGTTCTTCACCAATGCTGATAGGACAATACTCATCCAATGATACACGAGTAACGTCACCTCCTATCTCGTCTCTGGTCAGGCCGATGTCCTCGGACAGCTTCTGGAACTCTCCCCACTTCCCAGCACGTCTCTCTACAAAATCACAATGAGGATACCATGGCAAAGACTTTACTCTGAAACTCGATCTCCTGCTGGGCTGCCCTCTCCTTGGCTGCAGCTAAGGCGTTCGTGACGGTTCCCTACACAGACACAGACAGCAAATTCACAAAAGCAACTACTGAGGAGCTCAAATAGCATAACGACAAACACCATAATGGGACCCAACTCCGAGAGAAGGAGGAAATGATATCGACGGATACCCGAGCTAGCTCCAATTCATCCCTTTCTTTGCCAATATTCGCATTCATCTTCTCCCGACGAGTGTCCTCTTCCGCCTACAGCAAGAACACTCCGAACAGTATCAACAACAAGAACAACAACAACAACAAAAACGAAAACAAAAACAAAAATAAAAAGCAAAAACAATAACAATAACAATAACAATAACAACAACAACGACAAAAACAACAACAATAACAGCAATAAGAACGAGAATGATTAGTTTACCGAAACGATGCACAGCAGCAGCAGCAGCCCACTAGTCCTTACCTTCCAGTCCGCCGCATGATTCTCGATTTGCTTCTTAGTGGCCTCCTCGAGCTGTGCCGCCTCCTTATTAGCCTTCTCCCTACCAAAGACTATCACATGACCACTATCCATTCACCTCAATTAACCTTACTCATATCCGGCCACATTCTTCTTCAATTCTGCCTCTCCCTCGTCCTCCGTCTTACGCAATTCACTGCGTATCTCCTCGGCCGCCTTATCCCGCTCATCCGCGTCCTTCACCGGCACCTCAGCAAGCTGATCTAAACGGAAAAACTTGTCATATTACTGTTAATATGGAGACAGAGGGTAAGCCGGAGTTTCACCCGTTTTACGTGAAGTGACCTTATACTCTGTGAAAATCACGATGTTCGCAGTAGTCGTGAAACATATTTTTCACTAGTGTTTCTCATATCATTAGGGTGAAACTCCATTATATTGTACACGACACCCTAATATAATATGTCTACAATATATAATGATATCACTAGTGTAGTTCTAGTATAAAATAGTTCGTATAATGCGTGTTAGCCTTTTTATATATTCATAGTACTAGCAGTAAGTCATGTCCAATGTAATGGCTACCACAACCATCCTGAGCATGTTTATCAACGCTATCCTTACCTGCAATGTTCGTCAGAGTGTTTTCCGCATCCTCTAAAGTTTTCTCAGCGGTCTCCTCCAAAGTTTCCTTTTGATGTACCACACTTCTAGCAGCTCGCTCCACCTTCACCTGAGCACCAACAAACTCTCCTCAGATGAAATCAAAGCAGCAACTCTATGGGAGGTCGTGATGTGACTATCGTCAGTACAAGAGAGGATAAATACTTGTATGTTGTTTATGCCCTTAGCCAACTTCCCAAGCTTCTCATTGGCATCTCCATTAAGCCGTAGTTGATTCGCCATTTGATCATTAGCCTGGGTGGCCACCATGTTCTGTACTCCCGTCATCAACTGAACAACAAGAACAATAAGACAACAATCAAATACCACTCCTCTCTCAACTCACGCCCAACTACTCACCGAGTTGAAGGCATTCACCGCACCACTCTTCAAGTCATCTATATCCGCTGCATATCCGAAATGGATCTTGTCGAACTCGGCCCAGATCTCATCGGCTGCAGTCACCTAAGCACGACGACGACAATCATCATCATGATGATCCCTTCCAGCCGCCTCCCATAGTTCGACATACCGTTGCAGCATGCAGCTCATACAAGGCCGCCGAGGTAAGGCCAATCTTATGCGTCAATCCATCAGTAGTAGATGGGTTAGCCTTAGACCCGCCTCTCCCATCTGAACGACTGCTATAATACCCTCACAACAGTCCTCTACTGTCCCTTACATGTATACCGCATTAGCTTATCCAAAGTCGTCTCCGTATTATTCCACTCAACCGCAAGAGTCTGACAACATCAATAAGGCGCCTTCTACTGTGATCTCATCAGCCACCCTACACTGGCATTAACCCGCATATCCTTGGCTTGGTCATGGACCGACCGCTGCGGGCCGAACTGCTCTCGTATCATCTTATATCTGCGCACAGCGAAGATTCCCGCAACAATGAGCATCCCGCATATTCCTTCCTCACTTTAAAATGTGACAGTCATAATTATCAGCATCCGAATAGACTCCCAGCATTTCGCATGCCCTCACCCCAGCCGCCTCGCCCCTCCTTCGTCTCGACTTGTGCATCAGCGTCATTTCCGCTCGGGCATCCACCTTCCGAACCTAACGATGAAAACAAGCGCTACATCGGCGGCTATAAACAAGAACGCCCTCACGATCTCCATCAACTCCTCTTCGCTTCCAATATCAGAATAATCCGACACTAACCGGCTGACCTGCAACAAAAAAGACCGACAGAACAATACGCTTTAAAAATTCCACCAATTCTGGGAAATTCCCTTTCTATGATGACCCAAGTATTCACATCTACATCCGGGTCGTTAAGGCGCCACTCTGATACGCTGTAGAGATTCTCACGCGACGACAGCTGCACGGGTTGTCAGCAGTACTAGTGAAGACCGCTTAGTATCCTACCTCATCATCTTCTGCTCGGGGACGCTGTGCTCTATGGGCCAACAGCGAGGACAGATCTGCATCATCGACGTCGAGCGTGTCAACATCCTAAAAGCAATCACCATCCCTATACGACTACACCAAGGTCTAACCTCATGAGAAGAAGCAACCATACAGGCCGACACCAGGACCGCCATCAACAGGCGGAGGCGCCAAATCATAATGAATTGCGACAATAATGAGTAATAGCTACAGCACAGTTGCCGATACTCCAACTAATTGACGAACTCAACAGAGCTTCACTCCACAGCGATGCACTATCATCATCATCATCATGTGACATGGTCACTTCTACCCTCTACTTAACGAGCGGCACTCTGAAGCACCTGAGGTAACAACGAGGGTCAATGCTAACAGCAAGAAAAGGTCAGCGAGAGCCGCTGACCTGATTTGCTTTCTTCGTCATATCATCCTCAAACTGCGCAATGTTATCTCGAACATACTGTCGCTCCTCTGAGACCAACATGAATCCTCACAGTTAACTTTCCAATATCATCCCACCAGCATCCATCTTCTCCTGCTTCCTCTGCAGATCTGCTAACTCCGCCTTGGCCTTCAACAACAACTCATTCCTGTTGTCATGAATAGCCCTCTGTCTTTCCTCAAGTTTTGCTATATGTTCCTTCATGTATCTAATCAAATGAGCATACAAAACTACTCCACTGAGCTCAACCTACTTCTCAAATGCTTCCTCCTCCTCATACCCCTTATCCAACTCCTTATGAACCCTGTTGACCTGACCAAACAGTGAGCCACATGTTGAAGTAAGCGCCTCAGATGATATCCCACCTTCTCCATCGCCTTCACCACCACGTCCTTGCCCTTAGCTAGCTCATTACGAACTTGCGCATCCAGCTGTTCAATAAACTCAGCGTCCGCCTATACAAAGAACACAATCACTATCACAAGCAGCAGCAACAACAACAGCAGGCTACAATTCGTACTTGATGGAAGCGTTGGAATTTGGACGACATGACCTCCGAAAAGTCTCTCCATAAATTCAAGAAATGCCCAACAGCTTGTCGAACCAACCCCAACCGGATAGCCACGTCCCCTTCCTCCCCTCTGGCTTCCGTCTCAATCTGAGCCGAGCAGAGCATTGCCACAGAACGATAGATATGAGCACTCACATTAGCCTGATTCCTAGAGAGCTCCATCATAACTGCTCCTATACGCTTCTCTATGCCCTCCTTCATATCCCGTACCCCATCATATCTGCATACCACAACAACAACAACTTTTCCACCCACACTGCAAGCTGAACCCTCCGGCGTTCCAATATCAATAAATTCCCTGCAGTTCGTCAAGAACTCCACGAGACCATGCAAAACTAGGTTTCTCATTTTTCATCTTGAGTCATTCACATCAGTTTTCTTGTCGCTCATCCCCATCATCCCATTTCTCTGTTTTTATCACCGTAGCCCGTGTTGCTTACACTTTAGATATGTTGTTCTTCTGTTCATGCTCCAGCCTATACAGCTCCATGTTCTCCACTTTGATCAATTTATCAGCCTTCTTCACCGAATCAGCAACACCATCTATTCGCCGCTTGTTGTTAATCTCCGTTGTCTGAGCCAACCCAATGCGACCAGCTTTCTCGCATCTCCAATTCCAACCTGGATGGCAAATTTGGTCGACAACTCCGACTCCTTCTGCTCCCTATCAAGCAAGGCATTGGTCTGATTCATAGCGGCCTCCAATCCTGAAACAACAACAACCATCATCTCCCCACCAGCCCATCAGCGCCTCGAGTGACCATGGAAAAGCAAACTCGTCCGTTGCGCCACATTCTCAACCTCTCCTTGCAAGTTACTCGTCTCGCTGTTGAGATGAGCATCCAGTATCCTATGAAGAGCAAATACAGGACAGATCCCAATTCTTTCGATAACCCACTCTAGATTTCCCACAACGCTCTTCATACTGGTCTGCAATGCGTCAACTTGCCGACTATCAATTTGCTCACCTGCCGACTTAAACCTCCAAAAAAACAGCACTAAGCCCAGCTACTTACCATTGAGTATTTTCTGTTTTAACGCCGCATTAGATCCCCTAACCCGCTCAGCCAGTGTGCGCATTTGTTCCAATGCCTGCAAGGGAAAAGCCGCACATCATCCACAACTTGAAGTGTTCTACATACCTCCACAGCTTGCATCGCCGCTGCCCGTTCTTCCTCAGTCTCGGCGTTCTTAGCCCGGCTTTGTAGTTCACTCAAACGTACCTCTATCTGCTGCTGGGAGGCTGTGAAGTCGCGCTGAAAGCAGTGAAATTAGAAAATCCAAAAAACATCAACTCCAAAAGTCACCTCAATATCCTCAGCCGTCTTGGACATAATTTGTGGTAGCTTCCGCACCCTCTCTTCGAATGCGGTTGTCAGGTTACGAAGTTTCTCTGTCTCGTGGTGAGACAAAATGCTAACACACACACGTGCAATATTCAAACCACCCGTTCTTGCAATGTGGACAACCCTCACCCGAAACGTTCCATAAGGTTCATAAAGTTATCCTCAAACTGTCGTTTCTGGGTCTCCACCGAGCTCAGCACGCCATCCAATTGTTGTCTATACCTGATCATACCGCACCTTCCCCAACACTCCTTACAAACCAGGACCGCACCCTCTAGACGCCCGATCAAATTGCTGACCATCATCACGCAGCTTCTTCTCCAAAACCTACAACACGTCAACTTGCCCCGACCAAAGGCAATGCCAACCCACCGCTGAGCTCGTCTTCTCAGCCAGGTACTTCTTCTGCGCCCCCTCAATCTCCGACTGCGCTCGATTCTCCACATCATGAACCCTTTTCTCAGCATTCATCATCCTCGACTCGAGCTGATACGATAAGCAAAATACCCCTATAAAAAGCAGTCGAATGACCATACCATGCTCTTCAAACTTTCCTCCATTTTGCCCTCATTCCCCGCCAACTCAGCCTGCACTTGAGCCAATGCGGCATCCGCCTTCACATCACTCTGCGCCAACTGCTCCGTAAATTGATTCTTCTCTTTCGACAATTCCTCTTCCTGTGACTTCACCAACCCAACCACAGACGAATCCACACTCCTCAGCTCTTGCTGCAACGCCTGAGACCTTTGCTGGTCCAGCCCAAGACTCGCCGACATTTCCCCAGCGATACGACGGGTCTCCGACTCGTACGTCTAAGACGACATATGCACTACGGGCAATAATAGAAGCTCACCTGAATCCCATGACTAGCCTGAGCAGCCACATCCTGGAATGCCCGATTCGCTTTCCTATCCTCATCTTTAAGAGCATCCTGCATCCCCGACCCAGACGCCCTCACAAATGCACTCAATCTTGAAGCCTAGCACAGAAGCAATCCTACACTCCACAGGCTAGAGGAGCCGGTACCAGCTCAGTGTCGGTAGTTGATAGCAACTTGGCCAAGCGCTGAAGGCTCTCAGAGGAGCGTCGGTTCTCAACAAGGACATCCCCTTTAATATTGCCCTCTTCTTGTGAGAGGCCTCGCAATGCTTTCATCAGGTCATCAGCACTACCGCCAGCATCAGTAACCATTTTCAACAGACCCTACAAATGACGCTACTCAACCTCCCATACCACTCCTCCACCACTTCACCTGGAAGTTCTCCTTCATCTCACTATCAGCTCCCTTAATGTTCCCCTCAGCTTGCCGTTCCGCACTGCCTATCTTCCCTTCGAATTCAGCACGACCTTTTTTCATAGACCCCTAAACCAGCGCAATATACCACTCACCAATTTACCATCAGCCGATTCAATCATCACCTCCGCCGTTTCCTTCATCCTCCTCGACTTCTCCACATTGTCTTTAGCCGTCTGATCAAGCGTTGATGAGAGATCGTCAAGTCCCTTCTGAAGCCTCTCGCCAACTCGAGTAGTCTCAGCCCTACCAAGCACAACAAGCTGCTGTTCACAAAGGCGGACCGCCAGCCTCAACGCCTCACCCAACTTCTTCATTTTTCGCCTTTACATCAGCTGAGAGCGCCTTCTCTCCCTTTTCTATGCCATGCATAAGGTCATTCAATACCGCTGCCATGTTAGCTCCCTTCTGCCCTCCTTCTCGGAATGCATCACGAACCATCGCTAGCAAAGAACCACTATCGCATCAACCATTCCACTTCAGTGAGTAAACTCACCCATCACTTTATCCTTCGCCGCACTCGAGCTCGCGAACATGTCCTTATCCGCCGAAGAAAGAGAGCGGTCCATAGATAAAAGGACATCCGCGAGGCTCGAACCCGCGCCACCTGATTCAACCCACCCATAGGGAACTTGTATATACAATATCCTACTTATCGCCTCTGATATTTCCTTCTTAATAGCTGCCTGCTTCTGCCGAGTCTCTTCTGTGAGCTCATGAGCTTGCTTATCAGTATTGGCCGAGTACTCATTCAGCATACCTTCATCATTAATAAGTTTACTAATCATAACCATCAACGCTCCCTCACCTCTCAACGCCTTCATAGAGGTAACCATGTCAGTCGATACCTTTTCTTGATCTCCCCACTCCTTCTCCGTTTCACCTAGCGTCATACTGATTCGCTCACTCAAACTGGCAGTAGACTTACGAGCGAAGTTCTCAGCGGTCCGTTGAGATTTCTCATCCGCAGAATCGAACTCTTTCTTGAACGCTTTCTACAAGATACAGAAAATGCCTATTCCCCTTCCATCAGATCAACTACTTCCCACTCACCTGTTGCTCCTCAACCTTCGCACTCTCCTGTGAGATCTGCGAGTCTATCACGGCTCGTCTCTTCTTCTCCTCACCCTACATCAACAACAACATAAACTTTCCTTCCATACCACTCCTCGGCTACATCCCATGCCTTCAACTGGTTATCAATCGATGCAGCGCCGTCTTGAACGAAGTTATCGAGTTTCTTATCCCCATCAGCTCTGACAGTTCACACGATACCCTCTCCCACTCGGTGGAACGCCCTACTTATAACCCTCTACCAATTTATGCTGCTCATCTTCTGCCTTCATAGCGCTGTCCTCAATCTTCTCACTCAGCTGTTTCCGAACCTTCTCTCTCGCCTCGTTCTGAGCTTCTGGTAGCTCTGCAACCTCATCTGGGAGAAAAAACCGCAATAACAGGCGGAGCGAAGCTAGCAATCGGTCGGCAGTTCTCACCCGACAAGCCCGACAAAGCATCCTCAGCGTCATCCAAGCCTTCCGAAGTGACTTTCTCCATCCGTGTCTTCTCAGAATCAGCCTGCTTCACTTCAGCCTCTACTTTAACCTTCGACAACAAGCCTACCACAACAACCTCGATCCCCACCGCTCATCACCTGGTTGCTGTTTATAGTGTTGACCATATCATTCAACTCCTTATTCCCATGCTTGTTCAGTATGATGGTGTTCCTCAACTGTGCGTCTGATTGTTTCCTAGCGAGTTGAGTTATCCCTTTCAGCAACTAACAACGAGCAGCAGTTGCCTTCAATACCGACACGAACTGAACTTTCCATACATTATTAAGAGCAGTAGACATCTCCGACTTGTACTGATCCACATCAGCAACATAACCATAATGAATCTTGTCGAGTTCAGCCCACAGCTCGTCTGCACTTGCGACCTGAGGAAGTCCCCTCCCTCCCCCTCCCTCCCATTCCCTCTCCTACCGCTGCCGAATTGAGCTCGTACATAGCTCCCGACAAGAGGCCGACTTGATGCGTGAGGCCTTCAGTCTGGCTCGGTGAGTCCTTATCCGATCCCGGCCCATCTGAGAGCGGTAGACAAGTACCACTGACGACCAATCGTCGATCTCGATCACTCACATGTGTAGCCCATAAGCTTATCCAGATTGGCCTCTGCAGCGTCCCAGTCCGTTTGAAGAGTCTGAGAAATTACAACTTCCTAAAATTGCCGACATATTACTGATGAACACTCACCGAAACGTTCGCATCCAATTTCCGAGATTTCTCATGGAGCTCTCTTTCGGGCTCGAACAGTGCTCGAATCATCTTGAATCTACACAGCGACTCTAGAGCTCACACATCCCACTCGAATATCGATCATCACCTTCTCTCATGGCAATCATAATTGTCGGCATCAGAATAGTACCCCGTCTCCTCGCATGCCCGGACGCCTTTACCCTCACCCTTACGCCTTCTATTCTTGTGAAAGAGGGAAAACTCAGCTCTCGAGTCAACCTAGGAGAGCCCAAAACTCCACCACTACTACGCTGATCATCGGAGTACTTTTGATAGTATTTGTATCAGTTCTTCCTCCGATCCCATATCAGGATAATCAGCGATCAATCGCTTCACCTGTAAAGCATCTCTATACGTGCTCATTCCAAATTCCAAGCGATGGAAGGGGAAGGATGTCAGGCCGATCGAATTCAGGCCACATGAATAGTTTCGATCATTACCTCGCTATCTGCCATTCCCGGCAGCTGAGCGCGATGAGCCAGGAGCTCATGAATGTTATCATCGTCTATTACGTCCTGAAAGGAGGCGACTCCATCCACCCGTCCCCTCGACCCTACTACATCATCAGCTCTGCTGATCACGACTAGAGCCAGCAGAAACGATGCCGGCTGTATTAACATATCACACGAGAGGGAAAAGGAAATTAAGTATTAGCTGACCGCGAAAACTTGAGGCAATGCTATTTCCTACGACCGTGCTGTTGATCAAGGTCAACGTGCGCCGACATAAGCGCGCGCCCAAAATTCATATTTCGACCCAGTTCGGAAATAGGAGTTTTGGGCGAAGGTGTGTGGGGGCGGGAGAGAATAAGTTGATAACGAAGCTTCCTTACTAGACCGGCATATTGGGGTATTGATAGTCATCAATGGTCCTAGCTGAGGTAGAGTTTCAGAGCTTATTCGGTGAAGATTCGACATTTTCCAGTGACCGTTTGGTACCACGCAGTTGTAGTATTTAATATCCATCCCAGTCACTCTCTTCGCATCGGTTTCAGTCAACGCTATCCCATCCTTGGATTTCTGTCCAAATCCTTACATTCCTTTTACACACCGACTGGACCCGAGTTTTCCAAGACAGATCAGGGTCGTTCTGTTCCAAAGGCTAGCATTCCTTTTTTATTTAATTCCTGTGCCTTCTGGAAAAAATGGACAAAATGTTGGTTGAGTAGTTTCCAGCTAGTGAGGTAGGAAACTCAGAAATGGACGCGCGGACTGTCCAAATTTTTCCGTGGTTAACGACGAATCACACACATCAAGTTGGTGCGTTGGGATTGAAGTCCAACGCCGCAGTAAATTCAGCCTTATGTAACTCAGCCAGTATGACCGCTTAATTAGCCGGCGGAGAGGTATTCTGGTATACTGTAGAGCCTTCAAAAGAATCTCATGTTTAACAAGCTCAGGGTGTTACTATCCGGCTAAGGCCGCCGTCGGCCGGTGTATTTCCTTCCACCTAGCACAGCTTCGGGGTCTGTGTACGACCATAAAACACAAGCTATTGCCGCAGTGTGTCGACCACAGGCATCAATGAAATCGACGCAGCACAGAAGGTTAGTTCCGGATGCCGCAATAATGGCTCTTCACCCCGCACTGTGGAAGATTCTCGGCGATTGTTGCAGTGGCGTTGAAAGGCCGTCCGGCATTTGCGCTCTATTTATGGTTGGTGTGACGCTACGTGACCTTCGCACACGTCGCCTCTTGCTTCCCGATCATCTCGCAGTACTGGCTTGTAGACCATAATATGGTCTTCAAGCCAGTACTACACACGGTAGACTTGGTATGGTCACCATACCACAGCGCACCGCCTTGTCTCGGGACTGGGCGTCACCCAGCGCTCCCCGTGTGGATCGTCTGCGGTTCACAGATCACGAGTTACAATTTGGTGATTCCCTTCCCAAATTATTCATCATAGTCAGTCGTCGCTGACCACTGTCTTTGAATTATGTTCTGAGAGGATCCAGCTCTCCCTGTTTCCCCAGAACTCATCGATTCTTTCGTCACGAGGTCCTAAAGAGATATCAGGCCCGACACAGCCCATGGGGCCCTCAGGGGCTGTGAGTCAGCGTATTTCGTTCCGATCCTCTAAACCAATATCATAGTATTTTTATCTACGATAACACTACCCAGGGCGGAAGGAATTATAGAGAAAATGATGTTCTTATTAATTCATATGAACATCTCATCGACAGACCCTATTCTTACCTATAATAGCGAGGCATCGGCGGAGCACGATATTCTCAATGCTCTTCGCGAGAGTTGATCTACTATCGAGGTGCTCGAGGAACGCCAGGCTTGGTATGAAGGTACAAAGCGATCCACGGAGTGGACTAGGACACCGGTCGACGCTCGCTCATGGTTTGTCAGAATGATCATTTTCATTGATTTCAAGGCGAAGGCTATTTCCACTTATTCCCTTGAGCGTAATCAGACCCTAAGTGTTGGCGTTAACAGCTGTCAATTGGTCCCTATCTGAAAAAGGCCTTTGATCGTTCACGCCGTGCGGTGTATCGCAGGGAAGTTTACAATAAAGAGCAACACAATAGCGAATACTAAAACGCAACAGCGCGAAGGCGCTTTAGGGCACCCTCCGTCTCAACCCCGCCTCGTCGGTTCTCGAATCTCAAGGAGACACGATTCACGCCGTGAAGCATGCCAGTTACAATCCTGGCCCAACACTCGATGCCGGTGACCGCCAATCACGTCTAGCGACTTCACAGTACCAATTTCTAATCGTGCTACTACAACTACCATCTTGGTAATCAGTTCATCGATCCCTCGCAAACTAGAAACTAATTACACAACGCTGTGCTGGATCCAACAACAAGATGGCTTGTATCAGGGACATGACATAACCATGCATTCACTATGTCCCGCCGGACGCAGGGACATTACTGGGAGTCGAACCGTCGCCTGGCAGACCCACGCTGCTCAACACCTGATCAGCCTTCTCAGTTATGTCCTCTTCCATATTATCAACTATCTTCCTGGCATTTCTCAATGCCTCATCATCGAGAGCATCCTGCTTCTCCTCCATAGTGGCTAGCTTATTTCGAATCTTCTCTATGAGTGTTTCCGTGCGGTTCGATACCTTAGCCTCCTCAACTCTCATTCGTTTTACATTATCCGTCATCTTGCTATCAAAGTCCTTGCTCTGAACATACCCCATATCGAGCTTCCTGTGGAGCTTATTGACCTCGTCCACGGACTTAGTGAGAATATCTTCGGTCTTCAACATGGCCTGATGTAACCTCATAGTGAGTTGCTCAATAAACTCAGTGTCATCTTTCTGGAAGTGCTTCAAATTTCTGCCCATCACTTGCGAGTATTCCTCCCACAGCTGTAGGATGCTCTTCACCGCCTGTCTCGTGTGAGCAAGACGAATTGCAATATCGCTGCTATCACCAGCCTCAGAGCCTTCAAAGTCCATCTGTATCTTCCCCAGCTCATCCATCACATTGGAAAGGGTCTTAGTCATTCTAAGTTTAGTCTCTTGAGCTTTCTTGAACATTCCCGATATATTGTTCTTAGCAGAATGTTCCAAACCTTTAAAAATAGCTTCCTCATGCCTGGCTAAAATCGCCGAATGATCCTTCTCAGCCTCAGTCTTCTCTATTCGTCGATTATTGCCCATATGAGCTGTCTCAATATCGAACTTGTTACCAGCCCTTCCCTCCTTCAATTCCTTAGACACCAATGACTCGGCCTGGACCACCGCTCCTCCTGCTCCAGAGAGCAGGCCCGTGTCCCTCTGACCAAACTCCGCCACTTCATCACCGAGATCGTTATTCTTCAGACCAACTGCATCTTCAATAGTCTCGAGATTGCCAGTAACTTTCTTCATGCTTTCCTGTACTTCTTGAGTCCTCTCGTTGTTAGCGCCATCACCCTTGAGCAACGAGCTCTTCATCTTAGTGTCATCAGCACGGTCCTTGTTCGCGAGGTTTTTCAGTTGTTCCATTACTCTTATGCCCTCCTCAGCCTCGTCCTTTTCCTGTTCAGTTTCCTCTGTATTAGCTCTCTCGTTGAGTTTCGTGATTCTAAGATTGATATCTCTAGTTGAATCAAGAGCCTCCTTCTCGATCTGCTTAGCAGCCTTGTCGAAAACCTGGGGGATAGCCGCAAGCTTCTTTTCTAAAATTTCGGTTTTGTGTGATAATCGCCCAGCCTCTCCACCAGACACTTTCCTGAGAACAACAAACAAGTCCGACCATTCACTTCTCACGACAAAGTGACTCACGCAAATCGCGTATTGAGTTTCTCAGTTTCGTCATTAAATTCAGTCTTCGTGAATTCAATTCCTTGCAAGATAGCGTCCAGCTCATCCTCAAACCTGTCATACCACTCTTCATCGAGCCATGATTCTTCCAAAGGTAAGACCAACTAGCCGGGTATGGACACAATTGCCAGGGACTTACTGCTTCGTATGCTTGTCGAATCGTGTAGCATCTGAGGTGAGCTTCTTAGTCATCACCTGATACACAATCGTCGAATCAGTTTTTCCTCTCCAAACTCGTGATGATAAATGCATAATACTCCATAAGACACAGGAAGACCGAATGAACATAAGAAGCGTCGTAATAGATTCCTACACTAGAGCGCGTCTTGTCCGTGAGATAGACCTTCTGTCCATGATCTAGCTCACTCTGAGCCTTGGCCAGCACCTCCTTCGTGCGTCCCGAGGTCCTATCCAGCCCCGACTTCAACTGACACCGGACACATTATCGCGGCTCAGGGCGAGCGATGAATGCAACACCTCTGCCCGAATATCTTTCTCGAGACTTCCCTGAATCTTCGAAAAATGACCACTCAGGGAATCGACCTCATGCTCGTTGCTCAGCGCTTGCTCATCGAGAGTTCGTCTGCACCGAAAAAGATCATCAGCTGTATTCAGTAGGATAAATAATAATAATTCGCCTTTTTCACCAACGAACTTACGTATAAAGGTTTGATTCTTCAGCTAAGTCTTGTTCTTTCTCAGCCATCACACGCTCCATATCTTTTCCAATCTAATCGCGACGCGTTCAACAAGCCAACGAGCATAAATGGTTTCCTCACATCCGCGAGATTCCCTTGAAGTTCCTGTCCTTTCCGCGCACTTGAAGCCATCTTCGAACTCAGATCTCTCTCGTTGCGTAGATTCTCCGACTCCACATTCTGAGAGCAAACAACTCCAGGAATTGCCACCATCCTCCTTCCTCCCCTTACCTGAATGTCTCTTGAAGCCTCTCCAGCGACTTGCTTGAAGCCTCTACTAGCAGCATTGGTCTCCTCCTCAACAGCTCGCCTCCCATTGGCGTGAGAAGTTGACATTGCTTTCGACAAAGCGTTGACCTAAACAAATCCTCCATATGTGACGGAATCGTTCAATAAGCTATGCCTTACAAATGCGGCTTCTTGCTTTGAAATGGAGCTCCCAAGATGAGCAAGCGTCGACCTCGAGTCGCGCTCCTGTGACATGTACTCCGATTTAATAGTGTGCTCCTCTAAAAAACAGTACCACACCTCACTCAACTTCACCTAAATTACATGGCTCACCTCTCTCGATTCCAGCCACTGCAGCATCGACTCCCTTAGCAGACAACAAGGCGTGTTTTATAGCATTCAGATGGGCCTAGGTAATGCCAGTACGCTCAACGTTATTGATGAGGCCTCACCCTCTTATTGCCGTTCATAGTGGATTGAACTTTATCCTCAGTTTGCTCAAGATCGCGAATAGCCCCCTTCATTTTGTTCTCTGTCTCTCTCACTCCTCGAGTAACTTTCCCCTAAGATAACCACCATAACGCTGCACTCACTGAGAGCATACACCTACCTCAACTTCTCTTCCAGTCGCATAAGCCTGCGATTTCAATGCCGATCCATCTTGTTGCATCTTCACGGCCATTCCATTCATCGCCTCTTGTAAAGCAGCACTACTATGCGTGATTTGTGCACTGATAGACATGGCCGATCCCCATCTCCAACTTTCCCCTTGCATAACTCACTTGAGACTGTTGATCTGCATCTTGAGACTTTCCGCTAAGCCGGTCTCGCCCGACTTCAATGCATCTTCCAACTGCATGACCAAGCCTCCCATCTTGCTCTGTTGCATACCCAATTGCCTCTGCATCCCAATAACCTTACCTGTCGTCATCAACCCATCATCAACCCCCCTCACCTACACCCATGGCCTACTCATAACACTCCGCATCTCGAGCCGTGCAGCGCTGTCCATATCACGATTAGCGTTCGCCACAGAGTTGTCCATCGTCATGAACAGCTCCCCGAGATGATCTCCAGAAGATGCTAACAGACAATCTTACCCCACCAATGAGGAAGCCCCACCAAACTCACCACGTAGATCAGAGACCGCTCTCTTCAATGGGGTTAGTTTCTCCTTTCTCTGTTGTTCCAAATCAGAGGAGCCAGATTGCATTCCCTCCTCGAATTTACCCAACATATCTACTTTTCGGATAATGCATCTCCGAGAATAAACCAATCCCACCTTGAACTTTCTTCATAGCCTCATTGAGGTCCCCAGACATTTTACTGTCATCAGTAACCGGAGCTTCAGTTTCATCTGAAACACAAAGGTATGGCGGTAATCCAACTGGCGTCCTACTTTTATAACGCTCCACACGCTCATCAGCTTTCGTTTCTGCTCTATCATATTTCCTATGCATCTCCGTCTACAGCAAAACCACTCCTCGCCATGCACATGCGTGCAACAAGCAAGTGGGCTCACTTCCAACGAGTCCACATCTTCAGTCTGTTGCTCAATCTTCATTTCGCCGTCCTTACGTCTAGCATCCTCGCGCTCCTACAGCGGCCACCATGAGCATCATCGTCGAGCATGACGAGTGGGATGAGGCCACCGCCTTACATGCGCCTCGTTCGTCTGATCCTCAATCTGTTTCTCTCCTGATTCCATCAATTTGTCAGTTTTTCCATCAGTTTGCTTCCTAAACACATTCAATCACATCCGTGATAGTAGTAGCCGTAGACATCCAAAACCCACGTGAATTCGTTGAGAGTATGATCAGCAGCTAGTTCCAGGGAGTCCCTGACCTTGTCGATTTCCTGCTCAGCCTTACCCTGCGCCTTTTCACGCGCCTCTAGTGCCACCTCTGGCACCTCTTGTATTTCCTCTACAATTCACCAACACATCCAAGTTCACCAACTCCACGTCATTGACGCCTCCTACCAGATAGATCATCCAATAGATTCTCTGAGTCCTCCAAAAAGCCCTCAGTAGTCTTCTCCATAGTTTCCCTAGCCGCTGCGGTCTGCCTTACCCCTCTCTCCACGGGAATCTGCATACACCAAGGCACAAGACAGGAAAGGAGGGCCGAGCCCTACCTGGCCCTTGTTGATAGAGCCGACCGCTTGCTGCATGTACTGGTTGCCAAGCTTATTCAAACTAATCATATTCTGCATCTGGGCTTCAGCTTGCATGCTACTCTGGAATTGGATCCCCTTCACCAACTACAAAGAGGATAACACATCCCATTACGATTCCAAGGACATGACCTCCCTCAACCCTACCGTATCAAGGCGCTTCTCTGCCTCTTCTTTCATCGTATCAATATCAACAGTGATTCCATAATGAACCTTATCCAGCTCGGCCCAAGCCTCGTCAGCCGCAGCGATCTATCAACACAAAGATGCATGTCTCTTCAACTACGAGGTTTACTCACCGCAGCGTCTTTCAAAGAAAGAAGGGAGCCACCGAGGAGGCCAAATTCGCTTATCAATCCTGCGTTCTTGCTGGGATTGTCCTTACTGAATCCCGGGCCATCTGAAAGACAACAATAGGCCAATGATGAAGTGACGGGTATTCGAAGCTCACATGTGAGCCCCATCGCTTCCTCCAACTCAGCGTTAGCCAGCTTCCATCTTTGACCGAGACTCTGACAAACGACAAATCGCGGTATCCTGCCAACATCACGACAACAACGACTTACATTCGCTTCACTCTGAAGTTCAGTGTTATCCTGATGGAGCTCCTTCATGGGTTTGAGCATCCCTTTGATCAACTGATATCTGTTTCATGCATGCTACCCGAAAGAGCTGGATGAGCACCAGCCTACCTCCTCCTATGGCAGTCATCATCATCTCCATCAGGATCGCTTCCCCGAGACTCGCACGCTCGCGCTGGACTATCGTTCTTCCTTCGACGGTTCTTATGAAAAAGAGTCATCTCAGCTCGGGAGTCCACCTATAACGGTAGCGACGTTCGAGGAACCGGTGTCCCCGCGGGCACGGTGTACTTTGGATAACATTTCAATGAGTTCTGATTCTGAGCCCATGTCTGGATACTCTCTGACGAGCTGGTGGACCTATGAGAAAGAAAAACCAGATCGATAATTACATAAAGAGACCCCAAGCCCCTAGTAAAAGGAGAAGTAACCATCCTGTGTTTCCTCAAGCGTACCCATTCTGGTCAAGACATTGTTGGCACCCGTAAACAAATGCTCACTGCTGACTTCAACTCAGGAAGCTACCACAAGCTCTTGGAAGAGATAGGAAAAGTATTCCGAACGGATCCAAGCGTAAGTCTACGGTTTTTGGATTTTAACAAAACGCGTGACTTGCTGCGACTGATATGGTCATCGTTACCTCATCTTCTAAACCAGATGATCGAGCACGGTGAGCTAATAGTTCGTGGATGTTCGTATCGTCTTCAACGTCCTGAGAACCACCAAGCTTGTCGCAAATGTCATTTCCTGACCTCTTTTGCATCTTTCACGGTGGACCTCAGGATACGTCCTTCACTCACCTCTTCTGCATTGCCAATGACTAAGCAAGCCCACATGAAGAGAGCCGACCGCAGGATCATTACTATACTAGATTTAGTAAGGGTAATGGCTTCAGGGATGCAATACTTTCCGTGAAGCACGACTCAGGTTCAACCCTATCATGCGACCGTATGCGCGCCGACCCAAACTGCGCCGACAAAAGCGCGCGCCATCGAAATCGCGTACTCGAGCACGACAAATCGTGGACCACGATTCGTGTTGCTTCATTATTATTGTATGGACCACTACTAATAAACTTAAGTCGATAGGTGACAAACGGAAACAATACACAACAAGAGGTAGAGTAGGTCTAGAAGGTCGTATCCCCTCTTCCCTCGTCCGAGAAACCTAGTAAGAAGAGATTACCGTTATGTATAAAGAAGATGGTTCATAGTACTCTAGTAGTAATAAAGTATGGTTTCCAATGAGCTACGGTGTAATATCATCGTCGCTAAGAAGGAATGAATTCAAGAAGCCTCTCCTCGGGTCGAACGGAGGTAGTAGCAGGGACCACTATGGGAAGTTCCCATTGGGAACACCAAAGTCAGGGCTGGTGTCGGTAAGTAGCTTTTCTCGTTATGCTGTGCGGTTCAGCGCAGAGGACGGAGCCCTGCTAACCTGTGATCATGCTATACCGTTAGTTATCATTTCGTTACGGTTCTACTGTGTCACGGCTGTTATATTGCTTTGTGCGAATCACGGTCTGTGCATGCGTGTTGTCTATTATTCCTGCGTGAACGCAGGCGCGTCACACATAAGGTTTTAAGGTTGGTTCTGAAGTTGATTCTCTGAATCTTCCCTTGGAGCCTGGACTTAGACCCTGTGCCTAACTTAGACCGTCTAAGATATACGGTTTCATTACTGTATACCCGCTAGTGGCTACGCTTCCATCAATAAGCTGAGGGATAGTATACGGTATTCGTCAAGTGGCCGATATTGAGTTCAATAAGTTATTCGTGGTACTGGCTAGAAGCGGTAAGAACTCTAATACTATGGTGGATTACACCGATCATCCTATACCCGTGTCTAGGATCACCAAGGTCAAGGGAGAGCCTCTTGTTAGGCCCGTGAGAGGCGGTATGAGAAGTAAATTGATTCTGGTTTGGGTTCGGGTCTTTGACACTCTGGTCACCATGCTTTGGATTGCATGGACAACAGTCCAGACCCTCGCGGAAGCGCATAATGCCTAGCAATGGCTGAGAATGAGCTCCTGATAGTGGAGCTTTAGCCTTCAGCTCTGACTCAGAACAAAAAAAGGAAACCAGGCGAGGATTACCCATTGGGTTATACGGTATAACTTATACCCAAGAAGTGACCATGGAAGTCTCCGTCATCAGGTAGAGGCGAGTGCCCAAGATCTCGCTTGAGCAAAGATGTGTACATGCGTGCAGCACTGACAATCTAAAATAGTCACGCACTTGAGTGCGCATCTCGGAGGTGCGATATACGCACTCCATCGGGCGTGCGAAGGATACCAACGTGTGGCAAATTATTGTCCCACAAGGATCCGATCCTTGTGGGACAATAATTTCCCCGATCCTTAGGATCGGGGAAGAGTCGTTCCCCGATAAGCCGGATCTCGGTAGATTTTGACCGGTTGATAGTCAGGGCCTAATACAACCTTCGGCTGTGACACAGCCGCTGTGTTATGCTCACTATCAACCTCGCACACAAAGTTGAACGCAATGCTGGGGAGAACATAAGGAAAGTACGAGAAAACCCAGAGTAGTAAGTTGATGGTTCAAATAGTAGTTGCAAATAGTGGTACAGCTAATATAGCTTAATCGATCAGTAGCTTTATCGGCTAAAGTGGGACATGGCTCAGTGCAAGAGTCGAGCCCACGAATAGATCCCGGGACCTTTCGGTTCGTGATCATACAGGTTAAACACGTGGCCAGATAGACCTAGTTGAAATATTCACTAGCCTAGACCTTGCACTCCACTCACAATTTCGATACTACCATACGAAACTTCACATGCTACTAACAAAAATTGTCACAGTGATGTCAACAGTCCGATATTCGAATGATGATGTGAGAAGTAGTGTCACTACTGTAGTGATACTTCTGCATATATAAGTTTTAAAAAGATATCTAAATAACAACAATGCTCAATGATGTTGTTGAAACTAACACGCAGGAGAGCTTACTAGACTCGGTCTAGTGACGAATTGTCGCTCATAGACTAATTTTATGTCTACTGTCATCACATTATGTTGTTCAATTGTGCTTGTCTAATAATTGGAATGTCTCAATAATCCGACCTCTCTAAGCCTCTGAGCTAAAGTAGTTCAGGTTCCGTGATCGATTGACAATCAATCATAGTTTGTCAGATTCCTCAGGTAGTCGAAAATATCCAATAAATATCTTGGGTCTAGTTGTGTGCCAATTAATATACCTGGTGTATCATACTACCGTGTGCACAGTGCACGGTCATTGTCAGGCTGACAATGTCAGCATAAATGGATCAATTTTTGAACAACGCTGAGCCCCGTACCCATTCCGCGCCACTCAGTGTAGACAAACTCCGGCTAGAGCTCGCGAGCCACCCAGATGTGCTCCATAGAGCACTGATAAGTGCACTGGAAACCGTGTCTGGCAACAGCTCCTCATCCGCCCAACAAGAGGTAGTGCCCGGCCCGATGGATGTTGCTGAGCATCCGCCATACATTGCAGACTCATTGTCTACAAAAACGCGTGGCAAAGGTCGCAACTACTGTCTAATACCGCACGAACCATTCGCTATTCTTCCTGTCGCCGAGAGTACGTATGGCACGTATTTCGAATTTGTCTACTCTCAAATTCAAGACGGTCCGCCAGAATCAGTATGGGCGTAAAACTAGTGGGACAACAAGCTCAGCTCATGGCCTACACTGGTATCGGTCACCGATAATCGGTGCCCGTCTCATAATCGACGGGGTTATCGCCCTCGTCCTTTCTCGGCAATGATTGTTCAAGGCAATGATGGTCTCTTTCGCATATGGACCACTGGTGAACACGCGATCCATAAGCGCAATATAATCGGTGCTGCTAATAAACGGTGTGTAGTTTCAGACGAGGTGAAAAAGATCATCGATGATTTCGTGCTAGGACAAGGCACGGTTAAAGGAACTCTCAACCTCATATTGGAACGAAATCTCCTCCCGGAGGGATTGCCTGTGAAGCAACTCACTGCGGCAATTTTCCGGAGAAGGCACGTGATCATGAGGTCTAATCCCGCCCGCCCACAACCCTCTGATGCGCGGCTCCCATCGGAGTTAGAGAATTTCTCGAATCGAGGACTGGCGTGCCAGACTCAATGGATGAGGCTTTTTGTATCTCATACAACTTGTATGATACAAGATGGATGCCGACTCGGATCTAGTGTACGCTTATTTTACTACGAAGAGGTTAATTCTTCTGGGTGGCACGGTACCGGTGATAGCGGCTGACCATACATTTAAAATTCCGTGGCTACCACTACCCTTCCTTGTAGTTGGTGCCGTGAATAAAAGCTCTGGATACGATTTTTTTATAGCCGGTTCTTCGGTGAAGGAAGATGACAGTAATATAGCTGCTATACTTTATACGGGTGCTATAGCACCCGCATTCGAAGCTCTGCGACAAGTATGTTATTCTCTTAGTATAGACCATAACAGTTGCTTTTGTTGGTGATTCATCATCATCCCCATCTCGTGCATTCCCATCTGTATCACAGATCTGTATTATTGATAGCTATTTCAAACTTTAGCGATGCATCATATGTCTCAGGCGTATGGAGATATAAGTCCATTCGAACTCGATAAATCCCTTCGTTGGCCAATTGACAATTTGCGGTCCGATGCTCCTTTACGAGTGAGGATGTTTTGCTTCGCACATCTCTGGCGAGACATTATAAATAAAAATCTGGGTGGAGCATCTGACGAAGACGTGTTGGATGTCCGAAACAAATTCAAAGAAGATGTAACAACATTACAGATATGTCCGACTGACAGTCTATTCTCCTTCGCTGCCCGGCTAATGTGCGAGGCATGGAAGGGAGACTTCCCCAGGTTGATATTTTTCGCGAAATTGGCTCAGAACAAGAGCCTGCTGGTTTCAAGGGTGCTATCCGGCACCTTCAAGGGTACTGCGAATGAACAATTGTACCGAAGGAACAAATGATTCAGTAAAGTCTGGTAAGTCTGACATTCTATGTCAATCATCATTAACAGCCTCACGATTTTTCAGGATTGATGGCCCCCACGACGAACCTCAGCGGTTTAACAAGAAAATCTATGAAACTTTGTGCACACAAGTCCTCCGCAGCGGTTGATAGAGGCATTGGAGAAGAACGGAATCTGGCTGATGATAGACAATCAACCAAGGACGACGTTTTGACTCAAAACTTTTGAGGCCTGGGCCAGGCCCGAAGTTCTCGTCCATTTGCTAGTCCGCCTGGGAAATGGACGAGAACTTCGGCTGCGCAAGATATTTTCAACGATTCAACGATATTATGCGGTCGGTATGTCATCGTATCCAATAGTCTGCTGAAAATTCACGGGCCACCTGATAGATCTGGAGAAGATGAACTTTCGCGGGAGGTCGGCAACTTCCTTAGCAAGTACGACTCTGCCGACATCGATGTTTAGGAGGGATGGAGTGATTATGTGCGCAGTACGTCGTACTGAGTACGAGGAGCTTGAAAGTGGTCAAACGTGGTCAGACCGGTGAATATCATTCGTGTAGCTGGAGCTTCGATGGAGTGCGTAACCGATTCTGTCGCCACAACTTGGGTATACATCTAATGAAAGGAAACCTTGCATATTACCATATAACCGACGCCAGGCCGTTCGGAGGGCCACCAGTTAGAGACTGTGCCGGGTATTATGAAGTCATCGGCTCGTTGGGTTCTAGAGGTTTGCGTTACTGTTAGGTTCAGACGTTCCCGTGCGCTCGATGTGAGACCATCGTACACCCAGCGTCGTACTAATTCGCTGAACGGGGTTGCCCGTTGGCATTCGCCTACGCTACCGAACGACGCCCACCAAGTACCACCGATATTCAGGCGCAATTCAAACTCATCAAGCCTTTGACTGGAGGCAAGTGAAGAAGATATCACGTCCAGCGAAGATGAAGAAGGTAAGAGTATATTGTGGAAATGATTGCTGATCCGCTGCTCAAGCTATGAAATGTGGAATATCGCTGTTGCAGATCCTCGGCGGCTAGACGAAAGCTCCAGAGTGAACTCTCTCGAGCCAGAGAGCGATTCCGAGTCGGACACCAACTTGAGCACTTCAGAGTCAGACACCGGCTTGAGCGCTTCACAGTCAGACACTGATTCTAGCGATTCTATCGAAGTCACTCAAGATATGCCTAAGCCCGAATCGTAGATGGACCTCGTCGCTCACGTGTCCGAACCGCGGTGGGGCAGGAGAAGAAGCAAAGTAGATTAGTGCCGCGCAAGAGCATTTTGTGCCGACAGAGAAAAATTTTGTGCCGAGCAGAGAAGATTTTGTGCCGAAGAAAGGATGACAGCCCGCAGTGACGCAATCTGTTTGTCCCACCCGAAACCCGACGGGACACCCGAAACCCGACGTGTTGTCGAGAGAACCCCGAAGGGAATGACCCATACAACAATAGTATGGGAGAGTGTTCAGGGTGAACCAGCGAGCGAGTGAAGTGAATTCCGTCGACAGGTGGACCGACTGTGCTGGGGGCCCCGCTGTGCGGGGCAGCACAGGAGGCCTATGAACGTGCAGTCGCACCCTTCTCTCTTCCCAGCCCCCATCCGGGCTGAGGATGCTCATATCATTCCCTATCCTAAGGTTCAACTCTGCGTGTAACACAAGGTGATAAACCCTCTACCGTAGAGGCCCTCTCACAAGCTACCACTTCTCAACAAGGAAGTAGTGAGGCGTAATGACTCATTACAGTCAACCCTCTCTGAGAGTGTCGATACCTCTCTGCTGGCTCGACTGTAGCCATACCTTTGCTCAAGGTCCTAGCATTTCTTCCCGTGAGATGAACGTCTCGGATTGAAACGTTTTATATTGACGCATTTAGTTGACTGATCCGTGACTCGCGTGATATGCACGGCTTGTATTATAGGCTCGTTATGGAGCAAAGTGGTGTGACTAAATCGCACTTCACGAATGGAACACTACGCGTGAAACTGATTCACGCGTTTCACGAGTGCATCTCCGTACATCTCGGTAAGCTACAATGGATTTGTTCAGTGAGCTTGTGATTTCACTGAACTGCAATAGTAGATTAAGTTATTGTCGAAGGTTAATTGTCCGCGTTAGGTATGAACATCGAGTTGAAAAGCACAACTGCTTCCAGTCGCACAGTAGCGTTGTACTGAATAGTTAGCAGCTGCGTTTATCATCCCGATGATGAACATCCTCCTCGTCGTCCTATTGATATGTGGTGTGGTTTGTACCTTCAAGATGGGCAACGTTCGCATACAGATGAAGACGACGCATTTCTGCAACCTCGCCCTGAAGGACATCAAGGGGAACCCAGTGGCATGTCACACCTCCAAGGCTATGGAGACTGAAGGGCTGGTTCTACCTGGTATGGATGATAACAAGTCGTTCACCGTTCATCGAGACATCTTCCTTGCCAAGGACGGTCAAGCGGTAGTTCAGGCAGCGCCAAATCACCCGTATCTGTATATCCTCATGAGCCAGAACGACACTCACTTCAGCATCTCCCAACTCTTCAATAAACAGTCATTCCCCCTAGAGGAGGGAACCAGGCGAAAGAATGATACGCCCAATTCTCGCAGGCTCAATGCCAATCGTACGCTTGAGGATGATGGTTGGGTCTATAAAGGTTTGGTAGATGAAGGTGGACAGAAGCTGAACAAATGGGTCAGAAGTGGCGTAGAAGGTGTGGATCCCAAATCGGGTCTCAACTTCACTGCCCTCGCTCAGACTGGTGTGATCAGTAACGCTTGGGTTCTCTATCTAGACAAGGATCAGAAGCAGATGGTGAAGGTCTTGGGTATTAACACCTTCGAGAATGATACAGTCTACCTCGAGTCCAACGTCACTCATTGGGAAGAGCTGGACGATGCATTAACTCTGGACGTTGCCATGAAGGATATTTACGCGGCGTATGACATTGTCAAGAGTCACAATCAGCCACCAGCGGAGGAACAGGCTCCAGAACTGGATGTTGATTTCATCAAGACTCGCTTGGTTAGCGAAGAGGCTCGTCTATTCTTCAACGATGGGAAGAGCCACGACTGGAGGTCGAACAAGACTCATATTCGTGGAGATAAGTCGGTAGCACCGATCGATTACTTCCGCCTCCCCAATGGCACTGCTGCACATAAGTTCTTCCTGTACAAGTACGACTCCCCTGTTCAAGGTCAGGAGGACTTCGAGTTACCACCGGCTTGCAGGAGCGGTGTGACCAACTCAGCCA